GGTAAGGAGATAAAATTATAAGGGAAGGAGAGAAAGAAAGCAAGAGAAGGGTTTTGATGGAGTAACTGGGAAATATGTATTTTCAAGAATTCACATCTTTTCTGAATTGGATTTTTCAGCTTCTTTCTGGAAAGGCTTTATTGTCTTCATCTAAAGTAAGCTTAAACAGCTGTTTAACTGTTCATTTAACTGGTGAAAATTTGCCCTTGGCAAAGTAAATGTAAATGAATTAGCTTTTCGGACAGTTAACCAAACCCTTAACACTTTTCTTCTAACTTTCTCATAATGTATGCCTTCATTAGTTCTTGTTACAGTAGTAAACCTACACTGAGGCTGTGCTATTTCAAACCACACTTCTCAGCCTTCCTAACATCTGCTTTCCATACGGTGAATTGGACACAGGCTGTAAAAGAAAAAATGTGATACAGTCTCGGACCAAATCACTTTTACTTCTCGTTGCTTAACTAACACAGCAATTGGTACTTATTCCAAATAAGGGAGGTGGACGAGTACAAGAGGGAAAGGGGTGAGGATGGGAGGGCATGGGGAATGGTTTCAGGAGTTCTCCTTTTCAAGTCCCTGCAGAGCCATAAAAATCACAGGATAACCTTGAGCTAGTGCTCTCTTTTAGCCTAACCTTCCTTGCAGGGTTGTTTTTAGAACAGTTGAGAGAAAGAGAGTCAGATGCAGGTTATTATCCCACCAGGGGAAAGTGGGAAGGAATCAATAGTAGTGAATAAACATTCATCCAAATTCCAGTTAAGTGACACATGCACAGATACGTATTTATAACCCTGGGTTTGATCTGGAAGCTAGCTTGCAAAGTCTAAAAGAAGCCAAATTAAGGATGGGATATTTCATCTTCTCTCTGCCGATGCTTTTTTAGTGTAGTAATATAATGTAAATTTAAACTTAAAATTGTTGGAAACACCTTGTGTCAACATTAATGTAATGAAATTGGATTTTTCGTACCAAAAATTAATGTGGCAATCACTTGACACTTATGTTTCCATCTCTGCTTCTTCTCATCGGGTGTGGGGAGATTGATCTAATAGATTACCTGTCCTGGAGTGACTTTATCTTTACATCATTCATTGTTGGTGTATTTCATTCCCCCCCCCACAAGCCCAATAGAATGACAATTTGCTTTTTTACAATATAATCTGTGATGGGGGATTCTTGCCGAAATGGTCTAAGTGACTGTAATCAGAAACTACAACAACCAAACTATAAAAAAGATTATTTGAAAAATAGGTTATAATAGTATGAATTAATAATTAATTAGTCCCCACAGAGTCATGTATCACAGGATGACCTCAAGCAAGTCCTCTCCTTCAGCCTAACTGAATTAATTAATTGAATTTTTTTTAAATCTCAGCTTTCATATCTACAGAGAAAAGTTGAACACTGTGTGTGTGTGCATGTTTTTGTAAATATTTGTGCAAACACACAATGAAGTCCTCTAGTCTGCCTATAGATTCCTAATATTTGGGTTCTTACTCTCTCTGTGTGTGTGTCCTTTTACATCTATACGGAATCAAAACAAAACAGGGAGAATGTACATTTCATGGATATCCCACACCAATGTACACCCAGGAAAAAATGTCTTACCTTGTTTGTGAATGAGAGTGATACTGCTCAGAAGGGGTCAGAGGCTAGGGAAGAAGCACTGAGTGTTATGATTAGCTGGGTCTATACAGTACTTTTAAACCCAGGTCCCATTGTGCACTGTTTTCTACTTGAACAGAATGTGAGTGGATCAGTTGGGACAATATTCAGATCCAATTGTGGGTCAGTTGGGGCAACAGCCTTCTCTTTCACAGTTAGTTGGCAATAATCACACAAGCAGTACAACATACAGTATCCTTATTTTTAAGGAATTGACAATGGACCAGCTTCAAGTACTGGTATGGTCCTGTGATGTCATGATGCTCCTTAGGTGAATCCTAATTCAGAGAAGGCATACAGATAATGGAAGTGGTGGTTGTATGCAAGTATAGACAATCATGAAAAAAAGAAGGCAGGGGTTTTATGTGACTCTCCTTGAATAATGGCAACATTCGTAGCAAAAATCAAATTTCCAAAATGCTTGGTACAAGACTCTTAGGTTGGTCAGAACTAATATTACAAATGAACTACCCGATTTTCTCTAAGAGCCTAGACAAAAATGTAAAGCCAGGGGAATTACAACTGCTTTCCTCCCCTTATCTTTCATTACAGTTCCCTCAACTTATGTGTTTAAGCAGGATGATGGTACAAATTCAAAGAGTTTATGTGGCTTCACTTTTTTTCCTTTACCATATAAATCTGTTTTTGTTATTATGTGCTGTCAAGTCACCTCCATTTATGGTGAACCTAGGAATGAGCAAAATCTGTTCTGTCCTCAACAGCCCTGCTCAATTTATGCAAACTCAAGATCCTGCCTTCCTTTAGGGAGCCAATCCATCATGTACTTGGTCTTTTTCTTTTCCTGCTGTCCTCAACTCTCCTATGTTTCCCCGAAAATAATACAGGGTCTTATATTAATTTTTGCTCCAAAAAAAGCAGCAGGGCTTATTTTCAGGGGATTTTTTTATGTACAACAATCTACATTTATTCAAATACAGGCGTATCATCTTCTTGTTGCTGCAGCATGGTGGAGGGCGGGCTTTCACTTAACTTTTTTTGGGAGGGGGGTAGGGCTTATATTACGAGCATGAAAAATCATACTAGGTCTTATTTTCAGGGAAATAGGGTAGGACTGTTATCTTTCTGCAGAGAACCTTGTCTTCTCATGATGTGACCAAAGTAGGACAGCTTCAGCCTCAGCCTTCAACATTATTGCCTCCAGAGATAATTCAGGCTTGATTTGCTCTGTAGACCCACTTCTTGATTTTTCTGGTAGTCTTGGGTAACTGCAAAGCTCTCATCTAGCACTGTATGTCAAATGAATCATTTCCCCCCTATCATCTTTCTTTACTTTCCATCTTTCATACCCACACGTGGTGATCAAGTGATTGTTTGTACCATATTTTAGAGTTAAAATTTTAGACTCAGCTAGGCAGATCAATACACTGTCAACAGATGAACTTTTGCGTCTGTTGAAAACCCTTTTCTTAGCTGAGCCCCATCCTTTCAGTAGGGCACTGATTTATCTGGGCTTTTGTCTTGCATATTGACCATTTTGGAACATTCCCCATAAATGGAATATTAATAAATATTCCATAATGTTGCTGCAGCAGCTGACTCTTCTCATCTATCTGAAGAAAGAACTACAACCAACGGTTATAGACATTTAGAAGACTTCACTCTAAACAGGGCTCCTCCACACAAACCATGTTCCACCTGCTTTCTGACACTCAATTACAAAGCAGCATGGAGTTTATTGGGATTATCGGAATGTAACTTTAAAGCTCCACTTCTGTTTAAGAAGCCAGCATGGTTCTAAAAATGTTTCAAAAATCTTTCAGAAATATTTAATAACGAAGCTTAATTTTTGTCATTGTATTGTTTCTGAGTTGTTTTAAAACTGACTGAAAACTTCCAGCAGGGAGCCTCTTGCTGTAGATATACCTGTGGTATATCTTAAAGGCAAGATGCTTGGCATATTATGGAGACAACTCTAAACAAATGGGATCCATCTGAGAAACTTAACTGATTGCTTTTTAACAAAGCCTCTTTAATAAATTAATACATTTAATAAATCTGCTGGATTTTTGTGGTGGTGGTGATGATGGTGATTTTGTGTTAATTTAAACTTCTGGCTTTCAATTTTTCCTGCCTCTTCCTTTAAGAAATCAGCATCTTAAAACAAATCTCTTACAGAAGTCTCAGAGAAATATTGTAGGGACCTGTATCTTTATGAGGTTGTCTGCTTGTTGCTGTTTTTGAAAGGTAGTGTAGCGCTAACTGACAGTTTCCAACCAGGAGGTTTTTTTGCTGCCTCTGGAACAAAATAATACTGGGCAAGTGTAGAGTAAGTGATACTAGCATTCAAGGAATTGAGACAAGTTCTGCTTTGATCTTACAAACCAAATTATTAGAGTACACTGGAGAAGAGGTTGCAAAAGGAACACAATGGGAAAAGAATGCTGATGTTGCACACAAAATTGCTGCTTTAAAATTTTAATCCTTTAATATTAGTAAAATAGGGAAAAGCTTTGGGAGTCAAAATGGTAAACACACACAGGAAACATTGTTCTAATGGATTAGACCAGTGGTTCTCAACCTTGAGTAACCCAGGTGTTATTGGGCAACAACTCCCAGAAATCCTGGCTAGCACAGCTAGTGGTGAAAGCTTCTGGAAGCTTTAGTCCAAGAATATCTGGGGAACCAAGGTTGGGAACCACTGAGACTTTTTCTGCATCAATGGCCAGTCTCCTCTTGCAGAATTTTGCCTGCACAGCATGAATAATATCACTGGTGGTGGCTGATAGCCACTAATTAAATGGTTCCTTTTGCAATTTTGGGGTGTGCACAACTTCATCTCATTGCACTCAAGTAATATGGACCCTAAAATAATTTTTTAAAGGAACTCTTTTTTCTTACCAGTGGTGCCAGTCCCACTATCTACTTAGAACTCCACTAGAGGATACTGACCAATGTTCTCTAACAGCAGTATGGAGAAGGATTGTGCTGTTCATTAAAGCAAAGCAAAGTGTGCTGCTTATATACCGTCCCATAGCGTTTCAAGCACTCTCTGGGCGGTTTACAAGTTAATTATGCAGGCTACACATTGCCCCCCCCCCCCAGCGAGCTGGGTACTCATTTTACCGACCTCGGAAGGATAGAAGGCTGAGTCAACCTTGAGCTGGCTACCTGGGAATTGAACCCCAGGTCATGAGCACAGTTTTGGCTGCAGTTACAGCAGTTTAACCACCGCGCCATGAGGCTCTTTTACATTTAACATTGCAAGTAAATGATATAATTATTGTTTGTTTTGTCAGGTATTAAACAGAATGCCACCTACAAAGATTTCAGTATTTTCTGTAATGTGCATATATTTTTTTTCTTCTTTACAGCTTTGATGTGGAAAATGGCCCATCCCCAGGTTGTAGTCCACTGGACCCTCAGGCTGGCTCTTCTTCAGGGCTTGTACTCCATACTACATTTTCAGGGCACAGCCAGCGCAGAGAATCATTTCTTTATCGCTCAGACAGTGACTATGATCTGTCACCAAAGACCATGTCCAGGAATTCCTCTTTGCCAAGCGAACAGTAAGTACATACATCAATATGCTTTGCTGTATATGGACAAATTAATGCCCTGTGGTTAAACACGTAAATGTAATTGGTATAAATCAATGTCTCCATATTGTATACTAGGCATTTATTGAGTATATTTTATATTGAGACTCTTTTGTTATTGACCATGGGGCTGCAACAATCAATTCATGTTCTTTATTCCCTGCATTGTATGTAGGGATGCTGCATATAATATGCAAATGAAGATCAGCTTGGAATTTAAGTTCTTATTGACAAAGAATACTGTGGAGCCTTAAGACTAACAGATTATTGTAGTGTAATTTTTCATGAGCACAGTCTAAGCCTTCACACTGTAATAAATCCGTTAGTCTTGCAGGTGTCCTAATCTCACTGCTGATGATCCAGTGGCATTTTTCTTTATTAATAAGGCTCCCCACCCCTATCCCAAGATTCCTGAAGTCTTCCCCAGGACTTAGGGGAATCCTTGACAACGGAGGAACCAAAAAGGGGTGAAATAGGAAGATTTTTAATTACTTTAAATGTTTCTGGTGCATGATCCTAGTTACCCCATGCAAAATTACACCAACAAGATTTTGCCGCTCACATTTTTTTCCTGCTTTTTAAATTGTTAGAACATAGCTCCACTGTGAAAGTGAAACACTTATTAAAAGCTTACCTTATCATTCAGGCAATGTCAAACAGATCTCCATGGTTTTTTACTATCCAGTCTCCTCCCTCTGTGTGCCCAAGACTGTAATAACATGTATATCATTGCATCGGCACACACACAGAAAATCTTCTTCTCCCTTCCTCATATTCTTGGCACTGTGTGAAAACCAGCTCTGGAAGATCCCTCCAGTTTTGGAAGGACCAACTGAGCTGCAGTGAAGAGGGGCTGATCTCCCTCTTTCCACTGATTCCCCAGCAGAAATTGAGCAACTGATAATGCTCAATGTAGCAGATAGCCCAGGCATCACCTGTCCGTCACAGCGGAACCTTGGCGGGAGAGCCAATAGAGAGACCGGAAGGCGGAGCCAGAGAGGAGTTTGAGGAGTCGGGAAGAAGGAGAGAGAAGGCTGGAAAGAGGGTTAGAGAGCTGGAGGCTTGGGAATTGGACCAAGAGGGTCAGAGATAGATAGACAGAGTTAAAAGAGTGATTTGATTTGAATGAACCAAGCCTTGTTTAATATATGTGATTCACTCCCTGTGATTTATACTGCAATCTCCAACTGATTATTAACCCCGCCTGGTTCAATAAACTGATTGTGTTTGGCAGCATACGTGTCCAGTACTTAATTGATGTTGAAGAAATAACATCTGGTAGCAGCGAGAAGAGGAGGAAGGATTGTGAGCCTTTGTGAGGATGAGATAAAACAGGGGCCACAACGGCGAGGGCCACACTCAAAATACTTACATTTGTAATATTGCGTTATATATATATTTTTCAAATACATAGTTTATCAGAACTCCCTTGATCCATTGCAGCCACTGATCTATCAAGGAGCTAGGAAACTGTTGTGGAAAATAGTGCCAGGTGTAGGAAAATTGCTATGTCTATGTATTAGGTTTCTAAAAACTTAATTTGTGTGTACAGAATGAATATGTACCTATTACACTGGATGCTGCCCAAAGATTTAGAACAACATGGAAATAATTGATGGTTCTTGGCTATGTAGGTATTTATTTAAAACCTTCTCTGAAATATGGGATTGTTTTTGTTTTTCTTTCTTACTAGACATGGAGATGACTTGATAGTTACACCGTTTGCACAGGTATGTTTCAAATAGTCTAACACACAGGCAAGAAATATATATTTGTTTATAGATTTATTATTTATTTATTTAAGATATTTATATCCTGTCTTTCTCCTCAAGAGGACTCAAGGTGGCTTACAGTACTGAAACAAACAATATTAATAACTAAAAATGATAACAGTCACACATACTGGAATCTGAAATAAAGCAAAGTTATTCTACGTATGCTTAAAAAACACAACCCAGCCATGTTAGGGACCAAAAAGAGGTGTGGGTTGGCATAGATAAGGTCAGGCTGGTTCATGATTTCCTGTACACCATGTGGATTTCAGAAATAGGACTAAACCAGCCCATCCCTAACCAAGATAAAACTGTGGAACAAAATTGTACCATAAGCTTCTGTTTCTGGCTCCAGTTATTGTTAAGCTGCTGCTGTTGGGCTAACAATAACTGGATCCCGAAGTGAAATTACATTTGAGAACCCCAAAGTGAAATTTCAAGTACTACATATCCAAGTCTTGGAGACTGAGGCTCCAGAGCCATCCTCCTTCTTCACAGCTCTTCTTTCCTTCCTCAGAATAGAATCCCAAACCCCTTGGCTTGCCCACATTGCTCTGTAATCCTTTGTGGACATTGAGTCCAAATCCTACCAGGCTGGCATTGTTATTGTTACTGCTTTATGCTTTCCTATTGCTCGTTGCTTGACTATTGTCTGCACCCTATAAGATCAGATTCTGTGCTTTTCATTACTGCCATATCATCCCAAACACACCTGATTTTTTCTGATTTTGAAAGCTAATCAGGGTCATTTCTGTCTCATACATGGATGCTAATCCTAGCTGGAGACCACTGGGTACACAGGATTAGGAAAGACTACTACTTAAAAACCTGCGAAGCTGCTGCAAGACAGAGTTGGCAGTATTGGACTAGATGGACTAATGGTCTGACTCAGGGAAAGGCACTTCTCTATGTCCCAGTATACTTTTCCTCCCACACCACATGTGCCAAGATGTATAGGAGAGGAAGATAATTCTGTCTGCTGCTACAGGTGTGATTATCATGTCACTACAAAAGTGCTCCGTTTGGAGGCTTAGTATGAAGTGTGTCCCTTATTTGTGTTATTAATTAATAAAAAGAAAGAAAGAAAGAAAGACCCTGTACATACAACATACAGAACCCATCAGAGAAATTTTTTTATATAAAATAAACAATAACTTTTCCTATGGTGTTACAAAAAGGGCCAGTATTGCTGACCTGAAAAAAGGCCTGTTCTAATTATCACATTGATTTGTAGGTAAACTCTGGATTGCCACAAGTACTGAGCGATCTGCAATTATTCAAACCTAGCAGCTTTGCTAACTAATACATGGGTGGTTAACTGCACCCCTCCTACTCTGGCCTTGCCCTGCCCCAGGTACCATGTCCCAAATTCAGCCCCCTTGCTGATTTTGGACAGTTGCTCTCATGAGCGTCCAGAGGGGGATGAGGAGTGTGTTTGTCCTCCTGCAGAATCCTAAACTGTTGTTATATTAACAAGTGCAGACAGATGCATTGTGTTGTAGTGGCACACGCTAATCATGTGAATTATGTTTACATACCACTCTGCTCCCCTCCAAATTCCTACAGACACCCTTGGTTGCCATGACTCATGTTAAGTCACTGGAAATTTCTAACCATGCATGAGTGTTAAGCTCAACAGCTTGTGTCATTTATTTTCCACCAGTAAATACTGAGGGAGCTTACAGATTTCACTGTCCACAGCTTTAACTGTTACATATATACATTTTGTTTTTATTTTATCTTATCTTTTCATAGGTCCTGGCAAGTCTCAGAAGTGTAAGAAATAATTTTACATTACTGACAAATCTGCAAGGAACATCAAACAAGTAAGCCACATCTTTTTTTACTTTATATGTATGTATTGATTTTTCTACTGAGATAACACATTCAGAAGTTAATTCTGTTAACACTTATTAGGGAGTAAGTTTCAGTGGACTCATTGTAAATTATTTCTCATTAGACGGTCAATAGGTGTGCACTGTAACACAGATACCAAGATGATTTTTGCAAATGTAGCTTTTGAGTTGCAGATACTTGTCTGGAAGCTTACTGTAAAATATCTGTGTAAACCAAATTTAATACAGGTAGCTTATCACCTACTTTTTGTGAATCATGAAAATCCAAGGCCAAGATCCTATGCTCTACTTCCGCCTCAAGAATCAGAACCTTCTTTCCCTGCCACCCCTTTCCACAGCTCTCCATGGAGCCAAAAGCATCTCCCTGACCTCCAAAGCAAGTGTTTAGGTACACAGGGAACTGCAGGAAGAATAGGAATGCACTGCCTTTGCAAAAGCAATGGGATCCAGTGTATACCATTGGATCCTAGTAAGAATGATTGTGTTGAGACTGGATTTCCTTATAGTAGCAGGGCTCATCAAGGTTATTAAACTAACAATGTAAATGTTAGGTGGTAGCCAAATCTTAAGGACTGTAACTTGAGAAGGGCCACCTAATAACTTTATCCTCAGTTGAACATTAAACCAATAACTTCCAAGTGTCAGTCTGATCTTGATTTAAAAGTACATGTGATAATATATATTTCTTTGCTTAGTATGAAGCTTGTCCCTTACAAGTAGCCCCCTCCACACACATGACATTTTTTTCAGATCATAATTTCATTTTTTGTAATTCTACATTTAACAGATTTGCTTCACACCAGTAACACCATGTTTATATGCAGCAGCTTCACCAATGTGTGTCTTCCTCTTTGAAACACATTTTAGGGAGGTACACAGAAAATAAAATGCTGATCCTCATGAGAAAGCTCTGCATATGAACTGATGTATTGCGGAATAGCCACTAAACAGATTTAGCTTCAGGTGGCATCTGCACCACTCACATAACCATGTGAATAGTTCTCAGTCAGCTCATATTAAGGGGGCAAAAACCAGGCATATTCGAACGCAGCTTTCAGACCTGAGTGTATCCACAAACAAGAGAATCATAGTGTTATTATTTATTCTTCTGCAGGAGGTCTCCAGCGGCAAATCCACCACCAATCCCCAGGGTTAATGTTCAAGGTATGTGCTCTGTTGAAAAAAAAGATGCGTTTAAGTGAAAAAATGTTTTGTTTACTTGTTTTACATACAGCTTTGTTAAGAATGCTGTTAATCCCATTAAGAATCAACTCAAGAGCTCATGTCTCAACAAACATATGATATAACCAGGGCCAATACACTTACCAGCACATAACAAATCTCTGTTGTACACAACTTAATCAGATCCACAATGTTTCGGTCTCCATTTTCCTTGCATTGTTTTTCTTCATTCATGCATAAGTGGAAGAAAAGCTATTAATCAGGCCATTCTGTCATTGCAACACTGGTTAAGCATACTTAAAAAAAAAAAAACAATCCTTGCACTTTAGTGGTTTGTGGTTGAGAAGTAGCGCCTGGAAAATTACTTTTAAGAAGAATAACTACAGCAACTAGCTGAAGCCACCCACAACTGATCAGTGAGATGATAATGATAGGGGGGGAGGTAGATGTCATAACACCATCTTGCCACTGCTCAGTTATAGATGCTTCATGTTCATTCTTCTTAAAGGCGATTTTCCATGCTCTTTTAAGGAGGTAATTATGTTGGAAAGGAGAGAGTTTGCTTTCAGAAATCAGGGTACAGGGAAACTATGTACAGATGGCAAAATGCACATGCAAAACATTGGCTAGAGGAAGAGAACAGTGGTAGACAGGAAGAGAGTGAAGGAAATGATTCATTGATGAAATGTGGGGAGGAATTACAGTAAAAGGATTCAAGTGACAAGAATCAGAGCAACCAGTTCATGAACATTTTTACATAGAAACTTCTGCAAAAATATATTGCCTTGAAATCTCCATGCAGTTAGGAAATAAGGCTGTACTAATCTGTTAGCATGTTTAAATGGAAATATTACACTGCAATCCTATATGCACTGAGAGATTTGTATAGGATTGCACTGACAGTTACTTATCCACAAGTTTTCTTAGTCCATGCAACATCCCATAAGGCTTCCTGAGGCTCATGCAACAGCCCTGTCTGTAGCTAATGACAGTATAACTGCCTTTGATAGGATATTTATGCAAGCAACATATATGCCTCAGATACCCAGTGTGGTGTTGTGGATAGAGTAATGGACTGGAACTCAGGAGGCCTGAGTTCAGATCCCTGCTCAGCCATGGACATTCATTGGAGGTGGGCAACTGGTAAAACAAACCCTTAAGTACCTCTCTTACCTTAAAAGCCCTGTTAAAGTCACTGACTAGTTCTGACTAGATGGCACATAACAAAGACATGTCTCACTGTTGTCCTTTAGCACAGAAGAATTAGTTAGAATGTAAGTATTTTGCTGTCAAGTCTGAACCAAACCTTAGCTCATCAGATGACTTGGATTATCATTCCCATAAACCTTAATTGTTGTTCATCTTGGTTGGGGTTAATGGAGGTTTTAGTGCAAAATACCTGAAAGGCCAAGGTGTCCGTCCTCTACACTGTATGATATTTCTCCACTCTGATACCTCGACATTCAGGTACGTAACCCTAACAATGTAACTTCATTTCTAACAGTGGACATAAACAAGATAATGTTAGAATATATTGATTTGGACTTTTTTGTGTACATTCAGTGTACTCTGACAGAAATATTTGGGAGTACATGGTGTCCTAATTTAGAAAGTGGAATACATTTGGAAACAGATGTCTTTCTAGAATTCCAGCCAGCAGCTATTAGACATAGCAAAAGTGTTCCATTCATTTTGATACTGCATGTTCCCCCCCTTCTCCAGTTTTCAGCAAAAGAGTGGGGGGAAGATGACTAGAGATGGCTAAACAAAATTCTGCCTATTGGCAGAATTGTCAATAGGATGTTATTGTTGATATTGTACTTTTGGCTTGCCTTCCTTGCTCCTGTGGAAGAAATACTTCCCAGAAAAATACGGTCAGCTAAATAAGAGTATTTTGACACAAATATGGAGAAATACACAGTTGTTTTCCATTTGTGACATTTAATGTTTGGTTATTGTTGTTTTTGGCCCCAAGGCTGTGAATCTATTGTGGAGGTTTTGCATTATCCTGAAAGTCAAGCTCCTTTAGTTATTGGCCTGTGCAGTTCATCCCTTAGGTGGCCACCTGATGCTTTTGTAATAGTTGTATGGAATGTGGCTACTCGAGTATTACAGTGCTGAAGACTGCCTGTGACGTCAACAGTGAAAAGTCACACAGCTCCTCCCCCCACCCGCCCAGTCAACCTCAAGAACAAATAAAATAGTAATCTTTCACAATGCTCCTTTCATGCAAAGAGTATTGAAAACTGTATGTTGTACAGAATCCCCAGCTGTCCCTTTCACCTCCAATTTTAAAGAACAGAGCTAGTTTCCACAGGACCTGTCTACCATGCCCATAATAATATTTCATCAGAAAGTGAAAGACTTATTTAAACTAAAGGTAGAATTCTTAGTGGCATATCTACTGGTAAATGTTTGGTCAGTTAGCATTTCATCAAAATCATAGGTGATTTTCCATGTAGTAAATGTTAGAGTTACATTTTTTTTAAAAAAAAATGCAAAATAGTCTCCAGCTTTTATTTCTATTTTATTTTATTTTTAATAGGGATTTTGCTTTTGTAGAAAGTTTCCCCTTAAAAAGCATGCCAGGCCCCTAAGTGCCCATTAATTATATTGTCAGTATAAACTACACCAATATATCTTTCTAAAACAAAAACAAAAAAACACCTGTTTCCACTGCCATTTGCAAGGAAAACAGCATACAATTTTAACAAAAAGTAAATACCAGAGAAGGTATATATTCCAGAGCAATCAGTGCTTGGAAAAATCATGTATCAACAGTTACTGTCACTGTATTAGAGTATAAGTTCATAATACAGGCTCCTCCCAGGCCAGCTTTTTACTGTATTGCCCAGGTGCTTCACTTCATCCATGGAAGTTGATAGGCAGTCCAGATTATGATCTCTTCCATCTGTAACCCTCTCAAATTTTTGCACAGTTCATCCTTTTTTTTCTTATTGAAAAATCTATTAAAGAAATAAAATAAAATAGCAGCACCAGTGCTTTCTGTTTGTGAGTGGGAGGCACCTTTTCACTGGAAACATCTTTAGACATTGCTAGGCTTCTTTGTTTGGCGGGAGGATGTGTGGTGTGAGGCAAAATGTTAAATGCTTCCACACCCCAAACCTCTCGTGTAGCACAGAGAAGCTGCAGTTCTCTGTTGTTGTTGTTTTAAAAGTTATTCTGTAACTTAGCACTGTTATTTATTTTAAACGAGCTACAATTGAGTCTGCTTCATTCCGTTGCATTCTTAAAACTGAAGATTTTGTAAGTCAAACAGGGTACATTTATAGAAATATAGATATGTTTCTAAACTAAATAGTTTACAAACAGTCTCAGTATTTAAATCCCCATTAGAAATCAGTCACTTTTGTATTCACGAAGGCTTTCACGACCAGGATCTAATGGTTGTTTTGGGCTTTTCAGGCTCTTTGTCCATGTTCTGAAGGTTGTTCTTCCTAATGTTTCGCCAGTCTCTGTGGCCGGCATCTTCAGAGGACAGCTGGCCACAGAGACTGGCAAACCGTTAGGAAGAACAACCTTCAGAACACGGCCAAAGAGCCCGAAAAACCCACAACAACCATCAGTCATTTTTGCTTAACAAATGCTAGATATAACTTCAGGGGAAAATAATTACTATGGAATTAGTTTGATTTTTTTCCAAGCTGTACACACAAGGAAAAGAAATTGCTCCAAACGATACCCCTAGAATTCCACAGGTAACCAGTCAAAGTACAGTGGTGCCCCGCATAGCGACAATAATCTGTGCAGCAAAAATCGCTGCAAAGCGATTTCGTCGCTATGCAGGTTTAAAAAGCCCATAGGAATGCGTTGAAACCCCTTCAATGCATTCCTATGGGCTTCAAACTCACCTTAAAACGAAAATCCTCCATACGGCTGCCATTTTCGCTACCCGGTAAGCGAGGAATCCGGGCAAAAACACAGCCATTTTTTTACCCAGTGGCCATTTTGGAACCGCTGATCAGCTGTTGGGAAATCATCGCTATGCAATGATTGGTATGCGAAACAGGGTACCGATCATCGCGAAGCGATTTTTCCCTATCTACATCATCGCAATGCAATCGCAAAAGCAATCGCAAAAAAATCGTTGCTATGCAGATTCATCGTTAAACGGGGCGCCAGTTAAGCAAGGCACAACTGTATTCCCCTTTTTTTCAGAAAAAAACTCCATCCCATCGGACTTGGTGGGGCTTACATCTATGTAAAGGGTTTATAGGGTTGCAATCCTTTAAACAGATTCAGTGACAGCACTGTTGGATATGGTTTCACTCTCAGATTGAACCATGCAAGAGTTTACATGGATAACAAACAGGGTTATGTTCAGCTCGAAACAATACATGCTGAGTTCCTCCCTGTGATTTCAACCTCTGTGCTGTGATTTCAACCTCTTTGCTGTAAGAGTGATAAAAACATTCTTGGACTCCTCAAATGTTTCACTCAGTAAGAAGGTTAAGGTTTGGCCCCAGTGAATAGTTTAAAAAGAAAATATTGATTTTTGTGTCCCGTTTCCTGCATATCCTTTCCTGTATTAACACAATTTTTAACATTTCATGAACCCTTGTTTGCTAGCTTCCTGTCCTTATCCACATGTTTTTCTTCATCTGATATGCTTTTAGATTTCTCCTCCAATACATAGTACTATGTGGACTGTTGTGCTTTTTACACTGTGTGTTTTAGAAGTAACATGTGTCTTGTTAGTCTGGCATTTTGAAAGGGCTTGATTCTTTAGCTCACACTGACAATTTTTATTTTCAGACATTAATGTTATACATTCTATTTATTCATGTGCCATATTGCCTTGCAGCAGGAAGCATTTTTATTTTGTTTCTGTGAAAGAAATATAGCCTAGAAATGCTTCCCAATAGCTCAAGCAATGTGATTTGTTGCCACAAATTGCTTCTCTCATTAACTTGGCTAGCCGCTCCGTTTACATATTTTGTCATTATAGCTTGATTCATATATTCCACACAAGAAACTGTCATGAGCTGAATCAGAGACTGTTTCTTTGTTTTTGACTGTGACTTATATCCTGTTATGAGAAGCATAAAACTCCTAAAGCCACCTAATAGAAATGCACAGAAGATTTCTACGTGAAGAAAGCTGACTTCTTTCAGCATTTGCACTGGGAACTGGTACAGAGTTTAGCAAACAAATAGCATTTCTTTTCCTTTTTCAAAGGTTTGTAAAAAGGGTCAGTTGACCCTACTTAAGCACATAACAATTCCTATCAGTTAATACAATGCATTTCTAAGTTTACAGATGCTTCACATGCATTTTCTCAGAAACACTCAGAGCAATCCTGCAAGGTAGGCTTCCGTTGTTATCCCCATGATGCCAGGGAGGATCTGTGGCTGATAGACTATTGCCTTGCCAAAAACATGAGTTGGCAACTGAGACTGCATTTGAACTGGAGATTTCCCAGTTTATTTATGTATTATACGTACTTTACGTACTTCATTCATTCATTCATTGTTATACTTCTAGACCACCCATCTGGCAAAAAATTACTACTTTGGGTGATATATAATACTAAGACAACAAACCAACATCGCATACCAGATAAAAGCATAACGTACAATATATTCTATAGGCTAGTTACTGCAGTGGCTACTTACTGCATTAACTTTCCTTTCAACAGTATTCATCCATCCTTGCCAGAGTGAGGAAGAATAACATGTACCAAGAACACATCCTGTGTTTTGGCCTAATAATCAACCAGATTTTCCCCTTTCATTTCGTTGTAATTACAGGCCCAAGGAACATATAGAACTGTTTTCATAAATTAAAGACTCTTAAGAGGTCAAAAAAGGGCAACTATCTGACAAATAAACAAATCTAGACATGGGAATGTGTGTTCTGCAACTGTTTGAGAAACTTTGAGACCATGCTGATGCACTGCTTAGTGAATTTAAGTAGGTCAAGGGAGATCTGGGTTGAAATCTCTAGTCAAGCCACCTTGGGCATTCACCTGCTCTCAGCCTAACCTATTTATAAAGTTATTATGATAAAATTGGAGTGGAAAACTATTTATGCTGCCTCTGTCTCCTGGGAAGAAATGTACTAAACAAATATGTGCCACAACTGACGTATTTAGTCAAAATTGTTGAATGTTATCCCTGAAACAAAAGCAAAAGCAAAAAAAAGGAGGAAATGTGCCATTACAACAATGTAGCTGCAGTTTATTTCTACATTTGGAGTATTTATTTGAAGATTTAAAATGACACCATTAGTCATAATATAATAGAACACTAGCATCTAATAGTAAAGTAAATATTACATTTACAGCAATGGAAAAAGATTTCCTTTTTATCACTGAATCTTGCTTTGAATTTTTATGTTGTTTATGTGCCATCAAGTTGTTCCCAACCGTATGAATGAGCGCTCTCTAAAATGTCCTGTCCTCAACAACCCACAGGAAACTCAGGCCTGTGGGTTCCTTTAAGGACTCAGTCCATTTGATCTTCTTTTCCTGCTGTCTTCCACCTTTCCCTGCATTATTGTCTTTTCCAGAGAATCCTGCCGTCTCATGATGTGGCCAAAGTAGGACAGCCTCAGTTTCAACATTTTTACCTCCCAAGATAGTTCAGGCTTGATTTAATTCTCTATGAATTTAAGCATCATATATTAAATGTGCAATGTTGTCCACATAGTAAAGGAGAAAAATGCCTGTTTTAAAATCATTTGGGGAGGGGAGCAATCCTAATAACTTGTAAAAAATTATTTGGTCTGTCCTACTGAGAAGTTGCCATTCTGGACTGTTTTTCACAATATCAATTTTCTGTTCGGAATGGGCACAGGAATATTGTTCTGTGAATAATCTTAACTTGCTGTATCCATCTCATCTAGTCATGTATGTATTGTGAATTTGGTTTGGTTATCCTACTCAAAAGTTGCCATTCTGGGTTATTGTTTTCCGTTCCAGCTGGGTTTTGGCCAATAAATAGTTAATAAAACAGTAATATTCAATGGATTTTAGATCTAAAATGTTGTTCTGATTTTTGTCCATCAGATCCCACTACTTATGCCATCAATTTTTCTTAAGAAGTCTCCATTCAGACCCATTCAATTATATTCCAGTTTTTACCTAATCCCTCTTTTATACCCAAGGGGTTCCATGACATGTTGGGAGTACAAAAATGCCCCCAGGGGGGTGTATGCAAGGAGGAGGAAAACAACTTTCCAGAATGCTTAAAGAAAAAGAAGAGAGCCCCCTTAATTAATTAAAGGGTTCCACGAAGGAGAATGTAACGATAGTGTTACCAGTGTCCTAAAAAGCAATGCTTTGGTGAGTTTTTGCATTATTGTTAATAATGCTGCTCCTTATTGCATGTGAACTTGATGAGTCATGATAACAACTTTAATGTATTACCTCCAAGCTCTTGACAGATCACATGCTTTGCATGTACGAGCTCCCTATTTCAGTCCCCAACATCTCCAAGCAAGGACAGCAAAAATCAGCATCCCAAACCAAATCTATAAAGGCAATCCAAGTGCAGGTTGGACTAATAGGAAAATGATACAAGACAGCTTGTAATGGTTGTCTGTTCTAATTGGAAGGTTTGTATGTTCAGTTCAAATGTGTAAAATGATCCCTCAATATTTTCCAAATATTTGGTCTGAAATCTGAAAAACTCAATTTATTTTCAGGACAAGCAACAAGTGTGCCAATCCAGCTCTAGATAGGCCCATTCATGTTAACTGAGATGCCAAGCTTGTCCAACATGTATTAAAAATTCTTTATTTTAGTTTCTGACTCTTTACTGCAGATCCCCATCCATTTGCTGTTTGTGTGTGTGTGTGTGTGTGTAAACCCCTGTAGGCAAAGATTTAGCATTAATATTTTGCAAAGGAGTTTGTTTGCATATAGTGCTGTGTAAATAGTACTGAAAATAAAATCAACTTTGTCCTGCACTACTAGCTGACTACAGATGAACCAGTAATATCAGTATTGCATACATCCTCCCCACACACAGAGAAAGAAAGAAAATAGGTGTCTGAATAAACAGACAATTAGCAATGTTTTGCTTGAAATGAAAGATTAATGATCTTCAAGACCCTCTGCTATCAATAATTTAGCAAACTAAAGGTATCATTTTAATCTAATGTACGATCTAGCATCATGTTTAAAGAACAAAATCATTTTATTGGGGCCTAAAACAATTGCTTATTCACAAAATCATTGTATAAAAAACATGGTATTGCTACAAAAAGGAGGAAGAAAGAAAAAGCTCCAGGTTTTTTTTCTTAAGGAATGATATGCTCAAGAAGACATTGCCTGGCTGTTATGCTTTGCAATATTAGTCTGTGGATTTATGCAACAAATCACCTACAACCTCCCAAGGCTCACAGGATTAAAATACTGTAAAAATTCCAATGCAAGGAACAGGTGTCAAATGGTATTCTAATGTCCCTGATACTCCAACTGTCCTTTCCAGTAAGCCTTCACATTTGCTTAAGCTTCCTGCATGCATTGGTATATCAAATATTTACAATTCTGTTTGTTTTTTAAATATATATATGGGTGTGTATGATCTTATATATGCATGAATGATAAAAGAAAATAGATAAGTGAATAGTTGGGCTGCCAGTTACTCATAGGTATTGGGACCATCCACAGAGATACTTTCTGAACCTCTTTATTTTAATCAGCATGGTTTTGAATGTACATGTGGTAAATTAACGATGACAATATGCTGTCATAGCCCCAAATCTCATGACAAGCTCTGAGGATTTTCTCACCCAGCTCAAGGTATGCATACTGATGCTTTGGGATGAAGCTGCTAATGCTCTTGACCAAATTCTCCACACACCCATTCAGTTATGGAGGGGAAATAACTACTGCTGTTTATTTGTACTTCATTTTTAAAGAAGTTCGTTGTGGTTTTACCTCACACTAGACATATGAGATGGACATAAATACATGGAATTAGAGTAAAAAAGTAATAACATTTTCCTGAAATGACCACAGAATGAGTTATGGATTGTGTCAAGGAAAGTCAGAAGGTTTGATGCCTACTATGTCTGCACAGTTAGGACTGTCGTATTCCAGTCTTCCAAATGCAGGTATGAAACCCAGTTTTAATAATGAACAAATGAGGCTGTCTGATTCACATACTAAGCAAATTAAGCTTATTAATTTTTATTGTTTTCCTACCAAAATATTTTAGCTTTGACATCATTTAGAGAGAAAATACGGATATGAAAGCTGAAATCAGCAGAGAGTAAGGCGCGGTTTCCTTCAGGAGTACAGATTGAATTACTACTGGAAAAGATCCTAGCAGCTCTCTTTGTACTATCTGACTTCTCTCTCTCTCTCT